TCTGTTGTACAAAAGTTTTCAGCTAAAGACTCGCGTGGCGATCTCCTCGTTCCGTAAGTCTGTGTAAATAAACCCGCGAAAGTCAATGAAGATGGCAATGAAGATTGCAAAAGCCTGGCATAATGGCATAATACCCTGTAATATTTCACACGAAAACAACAGCCACAACAAGAAAATACTTGAATGCAATACACCCGTTATTTTGCCACTCTTTACTCTGTCCATGGGTTAAATATACATATACGTATTTTATTTCGTTTCTATTTCTGTTTCTGTTTATGGTTTGACGTTTGACCTTTTCCTCTTGTTTTTCGTTCTAAACTTCTGTACAGAAAACGTAGCACTAACAACTGAGATAAGAAAAACGCTTTTGATTGTAAAATACTTCTGGAATAGTGAGCATAATTAAATATATATATGTGTGTCTATATATATATATATATTTTCTTATWGTTCATATTATACATATATAATACTCGTTTTTACTTAAGCATCCATTTATTTATGTGGAACTCTGAGCAAAAGTTAAGATGAGCACTTGTACCATAATAGCAGCTGATTTGCACTAAACAAACAAAAATAAAACTACGTAGAAATGGTTTGATTAATTGCGCTCAGGTTGTATTACACTTGCCTAATATTAGACTCACAATTAATTTATAATTTTTTAGTTAATTATGCCTAATTTGTATACGGATTGATAGCGATTTTCCACTGTCTGCATCTACCACTACAGCCAGCTGTATGCGTGTGTGTGTGTGTGTGTGTGTGCGATCGTCTATTGTGAATGACCAGACGAATTGGCAGCTTATGCTGAGCTCCAGGCGTTGCATACTTCTGGGCGCCACTGTGAGGCGAGCATCAGCTGCCAGCACACAAAATTCTTTGACAATCTTCGTTTTGTTTTCTTGATTTCGTTCACTGGCTGTGGCTTGGTTTATTTATTATTTTGCTTTGGCTCAAAGTAATTGGCAGCTGGAAGTCGAAAAAGCCTACTAAAAGACCGTTACAAAAATGTAATTTAGTTTTTGGTTTTAATTATTACTTTACTTGCATTAGTTTTGATTTGGTTCGTTGTAATTTAAATGTGAAACTCACAAATATTATACACACACACACACACACATATACACACTCAAACACACACACACACACACTCAAACACACATACACATACATGTAATAGACAATGCGGTGCTGGGCTTAAGTTGATGTGCACTCTTATTGATAAATCTGGTTGCAGTTCCTTAATATGGCCTCGGTTTTTATGAGGATCTTCAATTTAATTTGCATGATGCTCCTCATCGGACACTGGAGCGGCTGTTTGCAGTTCTTAGTGCCAATGTTACAGGGTTTTCCATCTAATTCCTGGGTATCCATCAACGAATTACAGGTATGAAATCTCTAAATATATGAATATATATTTTCGGTAGAGAAAGAATAGATCTTAACTAATTTTATATGCAGGAATCATATTGGCTGGAGCAGTACTCATGGGCATTATTCAAAGCCATGTCACATATGCTGTGCATAGGATACGGCAGGTAAGCAAAAACTGCATATAATATCAATARATGAATATTTTATATATATTGTATTGTGATAAACTCAATCTATTTGATCTTTTATACTGTCTATAATATTTTTTCATACTTAAAAACAAGCTTGGATTTTTTAAATTGTATATATATATATAAATTAAGTTCTACTTCTATCTCTTACATATATGCATGTATCACATGTATTATTAATTCACCCTTTGCAGATTTCCACCACAATCACTGACGGATATGTGGCTAACGATGCTATCGATGATATCGGGCGCCACATGTTATGCATTGTTCCTTGGTCATGCGACCAATCTAATACAGAGCTTGGACTCCAGCAGGCGGCAGTATCGCGAGAAGGTCAAACAGGTGGAGGAGTATATGGCCTATCGCAAGCTGCCGCGCGATATGCGACAGCGTATAACGGAATATTTCGAGCATCGGTACCAGGGTAAATTCTTCGATGAAGAGTTAATACTGGGCGAGTTGAGCGAGAAGCTGCGCGAGGATGTTATCAACTATAATTGCAGGTGGGAGATCCTTAAGAATAAAGCTAATTAACAGGAGTGTTTGAAGAGAGCTAATAAACTAAACTAATTATATATCTACATATATATTACAGATCCCTCGTGGCGTCAGTGCCTTTTTTTGCTAATGCCGATTCGAATTTTGTTTCCGACGTAGTTACCAAACTGAAATACGAAGTTTTCCAACCAGGTACTATGCGTCTATACATGCATGCTATAAGGAGTTACTAACTCATCATAAATTCTTCTCCAACTCAGGTGATATTATCATAAAGGAGGGCACGATCGGTACAAAGATGTACTTCATACAGGAGGGCGTGGTGGACATTGTCATGGCCAACGGCGAGGTATGTGTAGAGTATGCCATGCTAGAATGTATTACAGGGTATCTGTCTATCCATAGGTTGCCACCTCACTATCGGATGGATCTTATTTCGGTGAGATCTGTTTGCTGACCAATGCGCGTCGTGTGGCCAGCGTGCGAGCCGAAACCTATTGCAATCTATTCTCGTTGAGCGTGGATCATTTCAACTGCGTTCTGGATCAATATCCGCTAATGCGCAAGACCATGGAAACCGTGGCTGCCGAGCGGCTAAACAAGATTGGCAAAAATCCAAATATAATGCAACAAAAGGATGAGCAATTAAGCAATCCAGAATCGAATACAATTACGGCGGTGGTCAATGCATTGGCCGCCGAGGCCGATGACTGCAAAGATGAGTAAGTAATGACAAATATCTGTTATACAATAGTCTTATACACTGGTTTTATACTTTACTCTTACATACAATACCAACATGATACTCTTGTATAAGACTTATCTATGCTAGTCTGATAAAATTGTATAATATTCTTATATAAGAGTCTTATACTATACTCTAATATGGTACGCGTACGAAATATTCTTATACAATATGCTACACTCTTATATCATATTCTTCTATAGCACTCTTCTACAATACTCTTATATCTCTTGCAGTGACATGGATCTCAAGGAGAATTTACTGCATGGGTCAGAGTCGAGCATTGCTGAGCCGGTGCAAACGATACGCGAAGGTCTGCCCCGACCACGTAGCGGCGAGTTTCGAGCTCTATTCGAGGGCAATACTCCATGACACTGAGGCATCATAATTAGCCCAAACGGCACGCAACGAGCAACCATCTGAATAGCGGTTCGCAGAACTCAAATACAAAAAAAAAAAAAAAAATAAACAGCAAATAGTAATACACCCAAACATTAAACACACACATACAGACACACACACACACATGCGTATATAATAATTAGTGAAAAAAAATGAAAAAATAAAAAAAAAAAAAAAACTACACTGAATCAATTTACAGTAGTCTACATATATATGCAATTGCGATTTAGTAGAAGAAAAAAATGAAGACAACAACAAAAACAAAAGAGAAAAAAATGAGATAGAGAAAACGTATTACACAACAATGTCCTCAATAATTATTCATAATTTCAGCTCCGCTAACTGTGATGAACTTTAATATAAGAATCGAAAAAAAAAAAATGAAAAACTAAAAAAAAAGATGAGTACATAAAAATAACTTATACGATAAAAAACAAAACAAACAAAATTCAGCAGCCAGTTAAAGCATTCACACAGATATGAAACACGGCCATAGAGAGAACACACACACACATATACATACACATACACACCTACAGTTACATACATATAAGTATATAAGTTTTATGCCCACGATATTGTAATGATTACGAAGTGAATAGACTTTTGAATTTGCTACATACATAGGTGTTAGTCCTATGGATCTACTACTAATCTACAGACAGCCACACACTCAAACACACACCCATACACCTGTAGTTAAACATACACCCAYACACACACACACACACGTGCATAAACTTATGATATAAAGAAAACTTGTTACGTTATGCATACCACAAAACCAAAATAAAGAAAGAAATGAGAAGAAAATGAAATTACAAAAACAAATATAAATGCGCGTAGCTATTATGTACTCAAGAGCAAACAAACAACAAACAACAATTATGTATTATTGCGATTATATAGCATATTTAAATACGCATTGCAACAAAAAATGAAAAAAAAAAAGGAAAACACTCAGCAATATGAGTAAACACGACAACAATATATTATGATAAAGAAAAAAAGATGAAGCAAAAAGAAAATTTAACGAAATGCATTAGTAGTTGAACTATTAGTTTTTCACTCACTACAAGAAAAAAAAATTAATAAAGAGGAAGAGTAAACACTGACACAAAGTAGTAGAGCAGCCTCAAAAAATAAAAAATAAAATAATAATAAAAATA